TCACCAATGTTGGGGGATGATAGGAGTCTACTCCGGGAGGCATCAGAACACGGGCAGGCTGCATCTTCTAAAACGGTTTCCCCTGCTTGATGTATGAGTATCAACCAGAAAAACCCTGATTTCTGAGGGGCTGCTTTATTTTGATACAGATCTAATTACCATAAATAAAGGAAATATTTTGATGGCTAAAATTCAGCCCCTACTAGAAATGTTCATTCTTTTTGTACTATCTCTATTGCAGCAAAAACAAAGAGCATTCTGGCACCTTAAAGACTAACAAATGTATTATATGAATTCCTGGGTTACAGTAGTCCTTCTTATCAGATTTACATATTTCATGAAATCTTTTGCTATTATTAACATATAGTTAAATGCCATGGAGCTGGGATCGATCCCTAGCAACTGTGTCAATAGATGGCCACCGCTCTGGTGGACAGTACACCCAGACTCAGTGGTTTGGCTGTTTCCTCTTATTCAAAAGCATATTCTCCCATTTTCCTGATTTCACTCTTCGCTTTCCAAACATGTCCGCTTTTGTTTCATTCTGATACATGATGGCACTTCAAAAACACCAACTTTTAGTTGTTTCTAATAGCAGACGGGGGGGCGGGGAGTCTTAACTCTAGGCGGAGGCAAAGAGGCGGAGTTTCTAGCGGTCATCTAGCGGTCGTCTGAGTTTTTGTAGCTCTGTTCCGCTAATGGCGGGGAGTCTTAACTCTAGGCGGAGGCAAAGAGGCGGAGTTTCTAGCGGTCATCTAGCGGTCGTCTGAGTTTTTGTAGCTCTGTTCCGCTAATCCTAAATTGAGCCTCTCCGGCCGCCGTACGACCTCCTCTTGGTTCGTCTGGGAATGGGGCGGAGCCATCTCGGCTTCCGTACTGACGTAGGTGGACGTGGCCGGGCTTCGCGGGCAGGCGCCTAAAGAAACGTTCCTGCGGTACTTCGGAGTTTTTACTGTGCTTTCGCCATGAGCCGAAGCTACAACGATGAATTGCAATATTTGGATAAACTGGATAAGAACTGCTGGCGCATCAAGAAAGGATTTGTGCCAAACATGAACGTGAGTTGGTTGGAGGCGAGGGAGCGAACGTTTAATTCTTTCTGCTTTCATTGCTAAGCTTAGTTCTGGAGCATGTTAAATAATAGCTAAAAGTTCTTCTGGGCGTGTACTGGGTGCCATTCATTCCTTTGGGCTGAGCAACGGCGGTCATTCCGTCAGTGCGTCGAAGAGAGAATGAAGGGGATTCATATGCTCGGTTCTGCTCAGGTTTTAACTGAGCTAAAAAATACATAGAGAATTTATGTATGATTTTAACCTACTGTAGTGCATCCAGTTGCATTTTATTACACTGTAAGATGATCTTGGATTAAATAATGAGAGGTGATTTATAAATATTATAAATAATGCAACTAGAATTATCCAATTTTCTGGTGGGGAGGAGTTTGATCTGTAATTAGCTAGTTACAATTGTGGCACTGATGGTTTGGCTTAGAAGTGGGTTATTTATATTATTCAAAGTATTGACATTTCTGGCTATTTAGGAAGCTATCTCTGTAAAGTGTTTTTGATAAATCTAATAGGATTGCAATTTCAGGTTACCAAAATCTTTATTGGGGGGTATTTTTAAAATAGCCATAATTATGGAAGTATTCTAGTTTACAAGATACAGTTACTTAACCAAAGTTTGTTTGAATGGTGAATCCTACTTTTGAACATGTGGTGCTTTTTCTCATTTTCTTTTTTCTTTTTTGTCTCTAGGTGGAGGGTGTATTCTACGTGAATGATCCATTGGAGAAGTTGATGTTTGAAGAACTAAGAAATGCATGCCGAGGTGGAGGTAAGTTCGAGCTTTCAGTTGTCTGGTTTGAATCTCCTTGTTTCTCTTATGCCTCCAATATTTTCTCCTTTAAACCTACATTTGTCGTGTATTCAGCAAATATAGCTAGAAATCAAATACAGTTTCTTCAGCGTTTAGTCATTGTGAATACGTTGTTGTTAATTAAAAGCATTTTGAAGGCTGCTTATTTTTATCCTCAATAGGCTGCTTGGCTAAACATATTTTAAAAAGCCTTTGGTTTATGAAAAATAGTTGGTTGGGCAAGAGAAAACAGTTCAGTTCTGCTTGCTTAACTGTAAAGGCATATACCCTTTAAATCCTGACTTTGAATTGATGTTTTATGCCCAATCTACTTCATGCTTCACAATGTTTTCATTTTCTATAGGCCTAGCATGTAAGCCTTAAAGGAATTGAATGTGATTAAAGCTGTAGTCCTCTACATGCTTATCTAGGAATAAGCCCTATTTAAATCCATCATTCTTACTTCTGAGGAAAATGTTAAGAGAATAACACTGTTATTTGTCCTTAAAATGTTAATTGTGAAACACAGTTATATAGGAAAGAGGAAATAATTTAGTTCCTACCTTTTTTTTAGGTGCTGGTGGCTTTTTACCAGCCATGAAACAAATTGGAAATGTAGCTGCACTGCCTGGTATTGTTCATGTAAGTGAGTCCTTCCTATTTTAAACCCAGAATTAAGCCCATCAAGTTTGTGCGCTTGGATTCTTCTATGTAATAAAGTATTAGAAAAATAGTAGGACTATTTCTTCAAATAGAAATAAGAATACTTCCGATAGAAGAGAATTTACGTAGCTCAGGGTTGAACTGTACAGTCCTTGGTGCTCTCTGAGCTTGGTTGTTTGCTTCCAGATGTTTCATTACCCAACTAGGTAACATCATCAGTGCAAGTGTTATCTAGTTGGGTAATGAAACGTCTGCAAGCAAACAACCAAGCTCAGAGAGCACCAAGGACGGTAATGAAACGTCTGCAAGCAAACAACCAAGCTCAGAGAGCACCAAGGACGGTAATGAAACGTCTGCAAGCAAACAACCAAGCTCAGAGAGCACCAAGGACGGTAATGAAACGTCTGCAAGCAAACAACCAAGCTCAGAGAGCACCAAGGACGGTAATGAAACGTCTGCAAGCAAACAACCAAGCTCAGAGAGCACCAAGGACGGTAATGAAACGTCTGCAAGCAAACAACCAAGCTCAGAGAGCACCAAGGACTCTGCAATAAGAATACTGTCAGACTGCCTTATCCTAACAATTTCTTGATATGTAAATTCAAATATTCAAGGGTGTGATGGCAGTAGAGGGCTTACATTTACTATTAATTTCTGAAATGAAGTGAGTTCTTTATTTGCAGTTTGTCTTTTTGAGTAAGGAACACCCCTTGATATATATGTTGAAGTCTTTGCTTTTGAATGCTTTGCAATGGATTATGATTGGGCAAGGACAACCTCATAGCACAGGAATATCATTCATACTTATTCTGATATTAATTGCCTTTCTTTTCTTTTTTTAACAAAAATTGTATTTCAGCGATCTATTGGACTTCCTGATGTTCATTCAGGGTATGGCTTTGCTATTGGCAATATGGCAGCCTTTGATATGAATGACCCAGAAGCAGTAGTTTCACCAGGTATGGACAGCTGTAGTGTGGTATCTGTGTGGAAAGAGAACTCTTAGGTATCTCCAAATATGTGTTAGATGTGTCAGGCTCCAATTCAAAGGCCAACTGTACAGGAATATTGTTAACCATTCTATGTAAGTAACAAATGACTGGTAATATATTTTGTACTATGTTACATTTTCATCTGTTGGACAGTTTTTAGTCTTAAGGCCAAAAGGACTTAATTATCCAAACAATTTACAGTACAGATGCCATATTTTTATTCTGGGCTGATTTGAAGAAACAGGAGGAAAACTTTCCAGAATACATAATGCTGGCCAGAGCAAAATGTTCTCATTGCCTTTTTGAAGCAGTGTCTAAAATATTTTGAACAGTATTGTAGTAAAGTCAGTAGGTAAAAATCACTTTTCCTGAAAAAAAAAGTCTAAAATATTTATGATTTAATTTTGTTGTTAAGTTGTGCCCGACTCTTCATGACCCCATGAACCATATCGCACCAGGCCTTCCTGTCCTTATGATTTAATAGGCTTGTCTTAAAATAACAAGTGCTTATTATTCAAAATTCAATGTTAAGCTGAAATAACTTTCATGAAATGGGATTATGGAGGATAAATATATGGAAGATCTATGATCAAGTGCAACATTTCAGTAAGCGTTACCCTCAAACTAGCGCAGAATAGTTCTGTTCTTTTTAATACAAAGATTATATTTTTTCTTGTCAGAATCAAGGAACTATATAAAGTTAACTGAATTTGATTAAATATAACTGCTACCACAATGCAGTTGATTGCAATGATGAGTTCTGAGTTTTCTGAGTTCATGTTCTGATAATTGATAATTAATAATTGAGTATTCTGAGTTCATAACATCAGCAATTGCACAAAATGACTTGTTGAGCTAAGTTTTAAAAGGTATGTTCTGGTTACTCACACAGGAGGTGTAGGGTTTGACATTAACTGTGGTGTTCGATTACTGCGGACCAACCTTGATGAGTGTGATGTCCAGCCAGTGAAGGAGCAGCTTGCTCAGTCCATGTTTGACCACATTCCTGTAGGGGTGGGATCCAAGGGTGTCATCCCCATGAATGCCAAGTAAGAGCAAGATACTTATTTTCTCAAATATCTACATTATTGCTTAATTTTTGAAGGGAACGCTGGCAGAAGGAAAATGAAATGTAACTATCACATGTGTTGCAAATCCTATTTTTTGTCTGTTGACTAGCAAACAAGTAGAAATGTCATTGTTTTCCAGTTATTGATACATAGCTGTTTGAAAGCTTTGCTGAGGTTGGATATCATATATCTAGAAGACTTTGAGTTCCAGAATTCCAAAGAATACCCATGTTGACTGGGAATTGCGGGAGTTTATGTCTGTGCATCCGGAGGGCACCCAGATAGGTGAAGGCTGTCTTAGTATAAACTCACCTTGTGATTTAATTGATAATAGCTGCTAATAGGCTCCATGTTTCAACCAACCACATTTTCTTGTTAGGATCCTGATGATTGTACTTATTTAAGAACCAGGCGTCTTATTCCTCAAATATTTTGGTATAGCAAGAAAAGATTGGGGATTATATTCTGAGGCCAGTTAGAATAGCCAAGTCTGATGCCACCAAAACATGCCATCATGTTTAAATTGAGATGTCCCTATTCTTCTTCCCAGAAGTTGATTATCTTCTCTAGAGCCAGCCCTATGCTTGCCAAATGTTTAAACACTTGCTACATTGCAGTTATTTTGCCCCTGGAAGGCAAGGAGAGAGGAAAGTTTCCAACTTTGTCTCTTTTCTTACCTAGCTTTTCCTTTGCAATGTGAAAAGGATAACTTTGGATTTATTCAATATTTTCTTTACAGAGGAAAGGGAAAATGAACCTCACTTATTTGGAAGAGTATTTTACATAGTTGTCTATGTTCTAATTGCGAGGGTTTGTTAATGAATGCCTTATTTGTTTGTTTGTTTGTTTAAAAGATTTACATGGCCACCCATCTTACAAAACACAGTTCTGGGTGGCTCACAATGATAAACCAAAAACAATAAAAACAAAACTAGGAACCTAATCCATCATTTCAGTATGTCAAATGATACAATCCTCAGGCTTCAACTTTACCCTATGCCAGCGCCTGGGGGAAAAGCCAACCCTTTACAGCTTTCTGGAAGGCTAAAAAGGTGGGGACCTGCCAGTTCCCAAGGGGAAGGTTGTTCCACAGGGCAGGGGCTGCTATGGAAAAGGCACGCTTCCTTGTTTCCCACTTAAGCAATGGGACCTGGAGCATGTCCACTCTATCTATTTATACTCTGAGCAATGTGATTATTGTGAATTAAGATATAGGAGTGAGTCTGTGCAAACTTTCATCCTGTACTTGTCTGTAGTCCCCTAACTGGAGCATCTTTCACACACAGGGACTTGGAGGAAGCTTTAGAGATGGGAGTAGACTGGTCCCTACGAGAGGGCTATGCCTGGGCTGAGGATAAAGAACATTGTGAAGAATATGGGAGGATGCTGCAAGCTGATCCAAATAAGGTGTCGGCAAGAGCTAAAAAAAGGGGGTTACCTCAGGTAATTGGACTGTGGATATAATTTTGGGTGATCATTTAATGCTGACTAAAATCAAGTTGATTTTAATAGCACGGAAGCATATCAGAAAAATGACCCCAGATTTGATTATCTGAAGCCCTGGTTGAAAAGGTTAATCTGTCTCAGAATTATCCAACAACTTCTGGTTTTCAGCTATCATATTCTGGGTGAGTGGCTTGAAGTCACTCAGTGAGTTTCCATGGCTGAGAGTGGACTTGGACTTGACTGTCTCCAGCCTAGTCCAGCACTCTGTAGCTACAGTACCAAACTGCTCTTGCATTGTTTATGGAGGGCTTCATCCTGTTGTACTGAAATTTCACCATTTGATTGACTAGCCTTAAATATTGTCTTTTGTATGTTTGACTTGGTAATACAATATTATTGCTATTGAATTTATGTTTGATCTAATGTTTTGATTTTACTATATTCTTCTTTGGAAAACATACATTTTAAAAGGAGCCTAACAGTTGAGGAAATAAAGACAATCTTTTCCCTTAACATCTAGAACGTGGAAGTAATCTCCTTAATGCCCAGTGTTTGAGTTTTCCAGAGTTTTGTGGTTAATTACAGTTGAAGTACAATGAGGTACTTGTGCAGTTCAATATAGCCAGTGCTCAGATGGATTTAGGATTCTTGTTCTTGTTCTTCCTTTTGCCCTGAGCAAGTCCTTTTTCTCCAGCAATATGCAATATGGTAGAAAAAGCTATCAAACTTTGTCTCAGCTTCTCTTATGAGAACCACAAATCTTCCATTTTTCTTCTCAGGAAAAGCTAAGTTGTCCTATTCTGTTTAACAGCTGGGGACTTTGGGAGCAGGAAACCACTATGCTGAGATACAGGTTGTGGATGACATTTATAATGAATATGCTGCCAGAAAGATGGGTATAGACCATAAGGGACAAGTGTGTGTGATGATCCACAGTGGAAGCAGAGGCCTTGGCCACCAAGTAGCTACAGGTATGTAGCTAATATCCTTTTTTGTTCTGAAAATTAAACATGACAGTCCAGGGTAACACTACAGCTAGTTTCTACTGCATGAAGGTGGTATGTGGAAAACAATGTACCATCTTTACGCAATTAATTTACATATATGTAAAAATTAAACTAAAAATGTCTTTTAAGTTCTGGGTCTGCTGATCCAGATCACTGTTTCTGAACTCATTTGGCCATATTTTCACAGATGCCCTGGTAGCTATGGAAAAAGCAATGAAACGAGATAAGATCATAGTGAATGACCGCCAGTTGGCATGTGCCAGGATAGCTTCCCAGGAGGGCCAAGATTATTTGAAAGGGATGGCAGCAGCTGGAAACTATGCATGGGTCAATCGTTCCTCCATGACTTTTCTTACTAGACAGGTAAGATGGGACAGCAGTGGCTCATGAACTCTTGTCACTTTAAGATGAGACCTAATCAGGTATAACTGCAGCTAGGATGGGAATATTGAGCTCTGGCTAAGATATTCTTCCCGACCTAGTGTTCTCCAGATATGTTGGGATGGTGAATGGCATAGACTTCAGTCCCAGAATAACTGGAAGGCATGGATTGGTGAAGTTGATCTGAGAATATATCTGTCTTGAGAGAAATGCAGGTAGTCCTCACTTACCAACTGCCTCGTTTAGTGACCATTCAAAGTTACAGTGACGTAAAGAAATAGCTTTGCGGCCAATCCTCGCATTTATGACCATCACAGTATCCCACAGTCACGTGACTGCCATTCAGGTGCTTTGTGACCAGCACACATTTACGACTGTCTCAGCCTCCCACGGTCACATAATCACCATTCACGTGCTTCTCAACCAGCTTGCAACAAGCAGAGTTAATGGAGGCTATAAAATCGTAAGTCATGGTCATGTGATTCTTCACTTAGCAACTGCAGCACTTAGTGACTGAGTTGCCAGTCCCAATTGTGGTTGCTACCTGTATACCAATGCAATCAAACTCAGTTGCATTGTGCTTCTTGACACCAGACTAACAATTTCAGAACTATTAAATTTATTTAAGATATGAATTTGAGATTCATCTTCCAATACGTGGGCTTCCAGGTTGGATCTACTCGTGGTATGAATACATTTGGCCTCCTGTTTCTAAACATTAAGTAGAAATTGAGCATTTATTTAATTATAGCCCTTTCCTCCAAAACTGACTTGCCCTAAATTTGGGTCATTCTATCTAGATCTTTAGGGTTGCAAACCATTTTGCTTTAGTTCATTAAGAGCATAGTTGAAATCATGCCTATTTGGTGCATGGATGGAGCAATGCTCCAAATGTTTGTTCACAGTGCATATGAATAGCTTTGCCATAAACAATGGCAATTTTCTGCCTTGAAAAAAGCAAGTTTGGCCTGCTTTTCAAACTGAAGGATTTTGCAATCAAGAGCAGCAAGGCATCATTCAGAAAATGGTTAGTTCAGTTTACCAATATAATTATGATTGTCTTTCTACCATTACTACCAGCTAATTTAGAGAATGTCTCTCAAATACAGTTAAGAAAGATTTGGCATTGAAACCTGTTCCTGGAAAGCAAGAAGCCTGAAATTAACTGATTGTTGGAGAAAGAATTGCAGATAATTATATAACTAAAATGCCAGTTTCCATAAACAATTTGAGTTCTTGACCCCTTTCCCATATATACCAATCCCCAAAAATATATTCATAGGACTACCTTGTCTACCTGTATTGTTTTCTAGGCATTTGCTAAAGTCTTCAACACCACCCCTGATGATCTGGACATGCATGTAATCTATGATGTGTCTCACAACATTGCAAAAGTAGAGCAACACGTGGTAGATGGAAAAGAACGGACCCTGTTGGTACACAGGAAAGGATCGACCAGAGCATTCCCTCCTCACCACCCTCTTATAGCTGTCGATTACCAAGTATGAGCTTCTTAGATTTCTCTCTTGTTAGCATTCATGAGCATTCATTTCCTTTGTATCTGTGGTGGACCTTTTCATTTAATAGCTGCATAGCCCATTCTAATTTCTTCACAGAGCTATTGCATCCTCTTCTGCATATTAGTTTAGACAGTGTAAATTAGCTGATTCTAATAAAAATGTAAACCAACCGTATTTAACTGAGGTTTATTTTTAATGGTTGATAATTGGACCTTTTCATTTAATAGCTGCATAGCCCATTCTAATTTCTTCACAGAGCTATTGCATCCTCTTCTGCATATTAGTTTAGACAGTGTAAATTAGCTGATTCTAATAAAAATGTAAACCAACCGTATTTAACTGAGGTTTATTTTTAATGGTTGATAATAAATATTTCGCACCCATTCCAGCATAACTCTAATATTGATTGTACATGTGTATCTCCAGCTGACCGGCCAGCCAGTATTGATTGGTGGAACAATGGGAACTTGCAGTTACGTCCTTACTGGTACTGAACAAGGCATGACTGAAACCTTTGGAACCACCTGCCATGGAGCGGTGAGTAGGAAGGCCACTTGCTTTATTCTAAATCAAGGGCTCTTTGATTCATACTTCTGTGCATCTGGTAATATGCTAGCCAGAATACTTAAGTCAATTATTCTGACAAGAGGAATAGGGTCACAAATCCATGACTGCTGTGGGACCAGATGAGGATGCAGAGAGATATAACTTAGAAATGTAGGCAAATAGTATAGAGTGTCCAGGAAGTTTTAGATGGTGTGTATGTATTTAATTTATTCAGTCCCAACTTCAAACTGACTCTGGATGATGTACAATAAAACCAAACAGGATAAAAACACTGAATCAA